GAAGGGGGTGTCAATAATGGGGATGGGGGTCACGAGTGGGGTGACACTCCCTGGGTGGGTTCAGGGGTCGGTGCTGAGCAGCTCAGGTGGGGTTCAGAGATCATCAAAGGGGGGACAGGAATGGGGTGGGGGGGGGTCACAAATGCGGGGTCACGAGTGGGGGTGTCAGTCTTTTGGGGGACTCACCGGGGCGGGCTCGGGGTCGGTGCTGAGCAGCCCGAGTCAGGGGCCACGAGTGGGGGATCAGGGATAGGGAGAGGGGCAGGGGAGGGGTGAGGGGGGTCCCGAGTGGGGGGGCACTCACAGGGGCGGGTTTGAGGTTGGCACTGAGCAGCCCGAGTCAGGTACCTCGAGTGGAGGTGTCACAAACAGGGGGTCACGAGTGGGGGGGACTCACCGGGACGGGCTTGGGATCAGCGCTGAGCAGCCCGAGTCGGGTACCAGGAGCGTGGGGGGATCACGAACAGGGGAGGGGTCACGGGTGACGGGTAGGGGGGGGTCCCGAGTGGGGGGCACTCACCGGGGCGGGCTCGGGGTCGGCGCTGAGCAGCCTGAAGGCGTTCTGCACCTCGGGCCGCTGGTTGTAGGAGTCCACGGCTTGAGCCAGCGCCTGGGTGTAGGCGAGGGGGGCCGGGGCGGGGAGGGCGCGGGCCCCCCCCAGCACCACCAGCAGCACCAGCGCCCACGGGCTCGGCATCCCTGTCCCCCCACGGCCACCCCGGCGCCGCTTTTATCCCCCTCGGGAGGTCGGGGACCCGCCCCGGGGCTGGGCTCTCCCCCACCCCGCTCCGGAAACACCTGGCCCCAACCCACAGGGCGGCCGTTGGTTTTTGGGGACACGGGTGGGGGGGGACACAGAGTGTCCGAATGGATGGGCCGTGACATCTCCCCCCGCGGGGTCTCCCAGGGTGTCCCCATCCCTTGGAGCCCCTTGGCTGGCTATGGGGGGCGGGTCGGGGGTCCCGGAGCCCTGTGGGAGGGGTGCAGGGGCTGCGGTGCCGGGTTGGTGCCCCCCGGGCTTGCACAACCCCAAACTTGCCCCATGGCTGTTTCCCAACGCCGGGGGTGCCCCCCCCGGGCCCCCCAAACCGTGTCAGCCCCACACACGCACACGTCTGACCCCGAAATCTCTTTATTCCAGCTCCGTGGGGGCCGGGGGGCGGCGGGATGACCCCCGGGGGGACGCGCTGGGGGGGCGAGGCCGCGGGGGGGGCCGCGAGGAGGATGAGGATGATGATGATGAGGAGGAGGATGAGCGACCTGGGTTGGCGCCGAAGGTTTTTGGGGTGCCAGGGGAGCGGGTTTGGGCGCTGCCACCGGGCTGCTGCGGGGAGAAATAAGGTGGGCTTCACTCCAGAGCCCAAAAACCCGACCCCAAAGTGGGGGACACGCGTGGGGGACACGATGGGGGTCCCGGAGCCCTCACCGGCTCCTCGCCGCATTCCACCATCGACAGCGGCACGTCGGGCAGGAAGGTGAACACGGACACCTGGGCCAAGCACCGCTGCACCTGGGGACAAGGGACCCTCAGCACCCCGGGGACCCCCCTGTGCCCCCCCCCCACCGGGCTCGGGGACCCCCGTCCCAGCTCACCCTGCCCGGGCGGCCCCGGCAGCCGCGGGGGTCCGGGGCGGGTTTGGGGCAGGGCGGCTGCCGGGCCGTGAAGTTGATGCTGAAGTGGGTTCCCCAGTCGAAGCTCTGCCGGGAGAAAAGATCCATCGGGATCCCCACGGGACCCCCACGGGATGAGGGAATGGGGGTACCCACCTGCACACCCTCCCACCCCGATTCCTACCGTCCTGGTGACTCCCAGCAGCTTGAGCAGCCGCAGGTCCTGCCCGTGGGTCTCCAGCACGGAGCGGGCCAGGTCGCGGGGGGCCGGCATTCCCGGCGGGATCGCGGCGCCCGCCGCCAGCAGCACCGCTCCCAACAGCAGCGCCATGAGAGCGGGAGAGCGGGGAATTCTCCCTCGGCTCGGGGCCCCCCGGCTCCGGCTCCAGGGTAAACACGGGCCCCCCGTTCCGCGGGAAGGGCTCGGGTTGCCGCTGTTGTCCTTGGCCCGGAGCCGGGAGGAGCTCGCCCGGACCTGGAGGGGATGCGGCGATGCCGGAGCTCATCGGCAGGGCCGATCCCCCTCCATGGCCCCTTCCCTGGGCCCGCTCCCAGTTCTTGGCATGATGGAACAACTCCTGTCTTGCTCCTCTCGAACTGGGAGTGAGAGCATCCTCCCAACTCCCATGGAATAGGAGCCCCCTTCCCTTCCTGCTTTCTTTACATTATTTGGGGTTTTTTTTAAATCCCTCTCACCCTGCTCAGATTCATCCAAACACCCCATCATTGTTTTTTTTAAAATCCCTCTCACCCTGCTCAGATTCATCCAAACACCCCATCCCCAGGTTCTCCTTGGATTCAAGAACTCTGGATTTACCAAGGACTGCACTGGGTGAATCCTGCTCTCCCAGTCTGCATTCCCTGAGTGACTGGGGCTTATTTCCCTAAAATTCAGTATTTTCCTGTCCCCTTTGGGGCCAGGAGCTCCCCTTTCTCTTTGCTTCATCCACAGTGGAAAAGCAAAGGAATCCCTGGGGAAGGAATCCCAGGGAGAGCAGTGGGGGAACATCAGAATCCCCCGGGATCACCGTGCCTGGGAGCAGCACCCTGGAATACCCTGGGACGTGGACAGCCCCGAGCTGCTGCTCTTCCAAGGGTATTTGATCCAGTATTCCCATTCTTATGGACACAAATCCGGGGTGGGAGATGTGGGAGGGAGAAGGGATGATGGAACACCAGGAGAGCAGCTCATCAGAGCCTCCTCTGCACATGGAGAACATCGGGATGAGTCCAGGAGAAGAGAAGGTGTCATGAGCAACAACTGTGTTCTGATCCCAATGTTCCTGGGTGGGTTTTTTCCCTTTCTAAAGCGTGAGCAGCATGGAAAGCCCAAAGGAATTTCCACTCCCAGGAAGCCAGCAGTGGATAGTAGATGGAAGCAATGGATCTGTACTGATAGATCACATTTATAGCCAGATATGCTCATCATAGACCCCAAAATATACACAGTACCCCAATATAGACATGACATGTACACCCAGAGCGATCCCGAGGGATGCCGGGAGTCAGGAAGGAGCAGGGGCAGGGGGTTGGGGTGGACATCCCGCTCCGAGCCCCCCGGAACGCTGGGATGGGGCAGGACAAGGGGGGAGCCCCCCATCCCTTGGCTTGCTGGGATTAGTGTCACATTCCTGCCCGGAGGAGGTATGGCTGTGCCGAGGGCTGGCACGGGAAGAGCCGGGCACGGAGCGCTCCGGAGGGACGGCGGATCACGGTCATGCAGGAGAAGGGCTGATGCAGGGAAGCTGCTGACGGGCAGCTCTTTGGCTCTGCCAGCATTCCAAAGTTTCCTGGCACAAAACCCACCGCAGAAAAGACCTTTCCCAGCGGAGCACGACAAATTCACGTTTTTTTTCTTGCCTCTCCTAAAAAAAAAAATCCTGGCTGTTCCTCTCCAGCTGCCTCTTGGTCTTGGAAAACATATCAATATTCAATTTAAAGGACGCCTTGATCATGTTAAAGGACATCTTGATCACGTATTTCCCATTTTGAAACCCTCAGGCTGTTGGAGTCGTTCACATCCATCCCTCTCCAAAACGATC